TGCATTGTTGCATTCATTTTTCTAAGACTTTATTTATTGGTAGTTTTCTTTCTTTGTGTTGTCTCTGTTTGGTTTTAGTGTTAGTGTAATGTGGGCCTCATAAAATGTGTTTCAAAGGATTCTTTCTAAATTTTTTTAGGGAATCTGAGCAGGATAGGTATTAGTTTGTCCTTGAACGTTTTGTCAGACTTACATGTGAAGCTATCTGGTCCTGGACTTTTGTATTTTGGGGAAAGTTTTGATTACTAATTTAGTTTCACAGCTTGTGATTGGTTTGTTCAGGTTTTTTATTTTTTCACTATTAAATCTTGAATGAGTGCATAATTTAAGAATTGTTGATTTTATATAGGTTGTTGCATGTTTGTATTATAAATTAGGCAGTGGGTTGTGACTTTAATTTTGAAAATACTCATCTGAGGTCTTTTCCTCATTTTCTTAGAAAGGATAGCTAAAGGTTTCTCTGTTTTGTTTTTTTTTTAATTTATGTTCAAATAACCAGCTTTTGGCTTTATTTGTCTTTTAGACTGTCTTCTTGATTTCTAATCCATTTTATTTCTGCTCTTTTATTACTTTCTTCTGCTTGCCTCAGGATTTTTTTTTTCTTTACTGGTTGCTTGAGTTGAGACACATTATATGGGCTCTTTCTAGCTTCTTAATGGCATGAAGTATTGCATTCTTCTGAGAACTGCTTTTGCTGTGCCCCATACATTCTGCAAGGTTGTGTCCTCATTATCATTTGCCTCAAGGTATTTTTCAATTTCTTCTTTGATTGCCTCAGCAACCCAGTGGTTGTTAAGTATTGTATTATTCAGGCTTCATGGACTAAAGTATCTCCTTGTTTTCTTTATATAGTTGATTTTTAGTTCAGTACCTTTATGGTCAGAGAACATACTTTGTATATTTCCTAACTTCATGAATTTGCTGAAGTTTGTCTTGTGATCCAGTGTGTGGTCATTCGTGGAGAATGACCCAAGTATATTTGAGAAAAATGTATATTTGTCTTCTTTGTGTATAGTGCCCTTTTAATGACTGTTAAATCATTAATAGTCACATATGGTCTAGGTCTTTCTTATGGGCGATTATGTCCTTACTTATTTTCTGTCATGTTGATCTGTCCATTAGTGAGAGTTGGGTCTTAAAGTCTCCAATCACATATGTATTTTCTCCATTGTCTGTTTTCAAATTTGATAGCAGTTGTCTGATATACTTTGCTGTTCTTTTGTTTAGTGAGTTTATATTGTTATGTCTTGCTGTTGTATATTCCTTGGTCGTTACATAGTGACCATTCCTGTCTCATTGCTTTCTATGTTTATCCTTGGCACTTAGGTGTGTTTCCTGGATGCAGCAGAAGGATAGATTGTGCTTCTTTTTTTTTTTTTTTAAAGATTTATTCATTTATTCATACAGAACTGCTGTACAGGCCAGAGATGCAGAGGGTGAGAGGATTCACCAGGGACAGAGTGGGGAGCAGAACAGGCAGATTGATGAAGTACACTGCTGAGGGGAGAAGTGGGCGTGTCAGGAGAGGTCTGCTGTGCCATGTGGATCTCCTCCCAGGGCAGGTGGGGATAGAACTCATGCATAAGTGGCTTAAGCTTCTTAGTGCAGTGCTTTAACCCGCTTGGCCACTGGGAGGGCCGGAGTGTGCTTCTTAATCCAACTATATACTCTTGTCTTTTTTTTTTTTAAGATTTATTTATTTATTTGTACAGAACAGGGGTAAAGGCCAGAGATGCAGAGGGTGAGAGGATTCAGCAGAGGGTGAGAGGATTCACCAGAGACAGATCAGGGAGCAGGACAGGCAGATCGAGGAAGTACACTGCTGAGGGGAGCAGAGGGCGCGTCAAGAGAGGTCTGCCACGCCATGTGGATCTCCTCCAGGGAAGGCGGGGAATCGAACTCATGGGGAAATGGCTTAAGCTGCTTTGTGCTGTGCTTTAACCTGCTGCGGAGGGCCCAATACTCTTGTCTTTTTTATTGATAAGTTCAAACCATTAACATTTAGAGTGATTGTCGACATGTGAGTAAGTATCCATCACTGCCATTTTGTTCCTAGCTTTTGGTTCTATTTAATTCCTTATTCAGTTCTTTGTGCTTGTTTCTCTCTCAGGTTTAGATCCTCAGGCTTATTTTAATATTTCTTAGGGGTCGAGGGAGGGCATTGGTGGATGACGATTCCCTAAGATTTTCTTTGTCTGACAAGATCCTTTTTCTCTCACACAGGAAGGAGAGCCTTGCAGGATAGAGTAACTTTGGCTGGCTTTTTTTTTTTTTTTCCTGGCGTATTCTGAATGTGTCATTCCATTTTCTTCTTGTCCTTACTGATTCCTAAGAGAGATCCCTTGTTAGTCTAACCGGTGCTCCTTAATAGGTTATCAGTGTCATTATTTTTTCTTTCTCATGCATGTGGGAGTTTTAGTATTATGTGTCTTGCTGTAGTTTTCCTAGGTAGCAGGGTATATTGTTATGTTCATTTCCTTCTTCCAATTTGGGAACTTCACTCTTTCCCTAAACAGATTACCTATTCCTTTCTCTGTTCTGGGGTTCCTAGGATTTTTATGTTTCCTTTCCTCGTGGTGTTAGATAATTTTCAAAGTGTTTGTTCATTCTTTTCCCTTTGACTCTTTCTTTCCTTTTTAACAAAATATATATGTATATTTTACATTTTTTACAGTGTTTACTTTCTTATGTGAGGTGTAGTCCCCATAGAATTTCCACCACCAATTCACCTGTACATCATCACCATAGTCCCTTGTGCTCTTCCCACCCTTGTTTTGACACCTCTCTCTACCCTCCAGCAACATTTGTTGTTACCTCTTTTTTTTTATGTGCCATTCTCACTGGTGTAAAATGGTATCTCATTGTCATTTTGATTTAGGTTTCCCTGATTGGGGTTGTTGAATATTGTTTCATAAGTTAGCAGTTTGCATTTACTCTTTATAGAACTCTCTTTTGAAAATCAACTCAAATGGACAACAAAACTGAACATAAGCCCTGAAACCATAAAATAAAACATAGGTAATATACTACAAGACATAGATCTTAGTAACATCTTTAAAGACTCACTCCCCCAAAGCAAACAAAGTAAAGGAAAAGATAAACAGCTGGGATTACATGAAACTAAAATTAGCTTCTGTGTAGTAGAAGATACATTCAACCAAAACAAAGAGACACCCTACTGATTGGGAGAAAATTTTTGTATTCCACACAAATGATAAGGGATTGAAAACAAAAATATACAAAGAACTCAGACAACTTAACAAAAACAAAGTAAACACTCCAGTCAAAAAATGGGCATAATTGAATAGTTGCTTCTCTCTTTCCTTTTCTATCTTGCTTCTTATGTCTTTTTACCTTTGAAGTTATCGATTCATTCTTCCATTTATGATTTATGGTCCTACCATGGCTTTCTCCTGAATTTTTTGCTTCCTCCTGCAGTTTCATTTTCCATCTTCTGTTTGCTGAATGTGTTTCTCACAGTATTTATTTCCTTTCCTGAGTTTTCTTTACATAACTGCTCTCTGTCTTCAGGTTTCTTTATCATGGCCATCTTGAAGCTGTTCTGGGGTTTTGTTTTCTCTCTGTGGTATTTTGTTCCCCAAGGGCTTGGTTGGTCATTTGTATTTCTACTTCTTCCCATTAGTTACTGTGGGTTTTCTATGTGTAGTGGGGGCTTTGTTGTAGATGCTTCCTTTCCCCTCACTGCCTGTTCCTTGATTGTGGTCAAAGCTATTGGGGTCGTGTATGATTTGTGGTGGTGCTAGGGCCTCTCAAGTAGCCTTGTTTTGGTGGTTGGGAGGGCTGATTTCCTGGGACATTGCCTTGCCAGGATCAATGGCTCATTCTTTTTTTGAGGGGGTTGCCAGGGTAGCAGAGGGTTGCTGAAGATTTCTTATATAGGAGGAGGTGTTGTCCAGCCAGGACAGGACTTAAGTCTGCTCCCTCTACACTGGTCACTGTGCCCTCAATTAGATGTACTTCCTGTGTGTGGCTGGGGGCCTGTGATATAAAGTTAGGTCTTGTGATACCCTGCCTGGGGCATTTGTGTTCCCAAGTTTCTGATGACTGGGCACTAAATGGAAATGTACTTCATGAGTGTGGCTGGAGGCTTTGCAGTGAAAACCTAAGTTCTGCAGGACTGACTCTTAGTAGGGATTGTGTTTGCTCCTGAGTAGCTCATGGCTGGGTCTGGAAGCTACCAAGGATTGGCAAAGGTCCCTTATGTAGAACAAGGCCCAGGCAGCGGACACTGATCTCCTTAGAGAAGCTGGTGGCTGAGCGATGAGTGAGATGTGCTTCCTGATATATTGGGCTAGGGTCTAAGAGCCAGACCCCAGTTGATCTTCTCTCAATCCTTGTCTTGATGAGGAAATAATTCAACAATTCAACATCGATACCAGAGTTAGGAGGAAAAGCAAGAAGTTTATGGCCAGATAAGAAGGATAGGAAAGCTCTTTGAATATAGTGTGGTCCTGAGCAGGTTGCTGCTAAGGAGCAAGAAGCATAGATAGTTGTACTTTACTTGAAAAAAATAAATTTTGTACCTTTTTTAGTTCTCTATGTTGTGTCTTTGTCTTGTACTGGCTGAATTCCATGACAGGTTCTTATCCATTTGATTCTTGCCATTTGTTGAGACCAGGAACCAGGGTCTCCTTGACTGGAGGATATCTGGAATGTGCAGATGGGGCTGATTTTGGCTTACAAAATGTTGCTTTATGGTTTGGGGCAACCTAGAATGTGCTTATTTCAGCACGAAATGTTATGTGCAGACTGGGACCCTAGTAGCTCTAACTGAACTGCCTATAGACCTATCTTGCTTTTTTCCTCCTGGTGTGACTAGGGTTCATGATGAAAAAGCTCAGTTCTGTAAGACTCCAGCCTAATTTTGGGTTTTTGATAAATTTAAATTAAACCCATAGTTTTCCTTAGATGGCCCCTAAATTTATAAGGTGGGAAACTTCCTAATTAAAAATATCTTTATGATATATTGTTTTTTTCAGATGGGAATGCTGAGAACCATGCCTGCAGGTTTGGTATGCACATCTATAATTGTACATGCAGCCAATAAGGAGGAATCCAAAAAGCAGCTAGTGAAACCAAAGCAGGTAATTTGCTTTAAATAGTCTGAGTTTTTATATAACATAAAGGTGGTGTAGAAGCTATGTTTTTTTTTTAATTTATCTCTTAAAATTTTCTCTAGTTTTGTTTGACACATTTGATAAGTTGACAGAAATAGTTATAAGGTGTCTCGAAAGAAACACTATATTATGTTAGCACTATAACTCAAAACATCTAGAATCCTAACTGCAATGAAAAGCAGTTGGTGATTTTTCTTAGTGAATAATCAATGAGTAAGTAATACAGGATCCACATGGTGTGAGAGAACTCTCCTGTCTCGCCTGCTGCTCCCCTCAGCAGTGCACTTCCTCAATCTGCCTGCTCTGCTCCTTGTTCTATCTCTGGTGAAGCCTCTCACCGCCCCTGCACCTCTGGCCTGTACCCCAGTTCTGTATGCATAAATAAATAAATCTTTTTTTAAATAAAAAGAAACAACCGGTCAAAATTTCCATGCTGATCAGTAAATTTACTAGATTATTTATTACATTTAAGATGGTTTTTAAAACAAACCTTTCAGTTTTTTTTTACTTGTTTTTATTTAGGATGGTTGGTGAGGTTTCCTGTTCTGACATGTTGCTGAAAAAGGAAGTCTGACTTTTTATTTTTTTAAACATAATTTTATTTCCTTTAGCTCCCTATATATACTGCACCACCTCTTCAGTCCAAATATGTTGAAGAGCAGCCTGGCCGTTTACAAATGGGTTTTGCAAATATACGTACTACAACTGGTCGTTATATTGACTGGTGCAAGGTAAGTTAATTTTAACAGTGCTATGATGGTGGAAGTTTCTGATATATATATTTTACATACCAGTTATTCCAGTATGTAAAATAATTAAATTAAAACAAATTTCCTCAAAATTCAGTGGTTTAAAACAGTGACCATTCTATTACATCTCATGATTTTGTATGCCAGGACTTTGATCAGAATTTGAAAAAGTAATTCTTCTGTTCTGTATGATATTGACAGAGGTCATTCAGTGGTGTTCATTTGGTGAATGAGGTAATGCAAAGAGTCTGTGAGAACTTAATTTTCATCTCTGCCACCTTGTCACATATAACTAGAAAGATGGGCTAAGCTGGGGATGTGCAATAAAGCAACTACACATGACCTGTCAGGTATGGTGGTATCAAGATTGTTCAGCAACTTATATGGGGTTCAGTCCTCCTAGAAAAAAATGATACAAGAGGCCTTAAGTAGAATTTGCAAAGATTTTTTACCAGTCTTAGAAATATATCCAGGAAAGTCACTTCTTCAGCATTCTATTCTTGTATCAAGTTAGCTAAGGCTAACCTATTTTTAAAGGTGGGGGTGAATTAAATTCTACCTCTTGGTATGAGTAGTAGCAAAGAATTTGTTGCCATATTTAATCTGCTATATTACTATTATATATTAAAGTAGTTCAGTAAGAATTATTTTACCTAACATTTACAAAGTATTGTTTAGCCTTTAACATGAAGTTCTTCATTTACTTCTGATTAGTTCTTTATTTGTCTAAATAAAATGTGTACTTGTTTTTAGCTCATAAGACCATTCTGACATTTATTTGGCAAATTAAAATTTACCTTATTTTAATATTTAATATTTAGACTTCAGTAAGCATTATTTAGCAGTAGAGTATTAGAGTAAGTGGATATGATACTGTTTCCTTATCATCACAGCATTAATGTTGCACCATCATCTCCAGTGTTGGTGTCATACTGATATTAGTACCATTAATTCATTATTTCATCATTCTGACCTAGAAATCTAAACTATCTGACCTGTTAGGCATGGTGGTATAAAGATAGGCCACAAGTATGGACACTTGTGTGGTTTTGGTTTTAATCCACTATATTTAAGAAGAAAATTCTGATGATTTTATGAAATACCCCATCTGTGAATTCCAGACTTTACAGATGATGTTTTGAATATCTGATGAATACTTGATATTATTTCTGAAAGGTCGTTTTACATTTCTAATAATATTAATTACAGTAGAAACTTTTAATCTTAGATCTTAAAATTATCTTAACTAATTAGATTCTGATTCATGTTCCTAAGGCAACAGACCAACAACTGGATGATAGACTTAAGTCTACTGAAACCTAATTTCCAATAGTGGTCTCAGAGTTGTTTTAAGAGAGATCACTGTTATAACTGTCAACCAATGTAAGAATAAAAGAACTTTTTATCCACTAATATATTGAAATAGTTGAAGAAGGGCACTTTTGCATGCATATCATCTTCATTGTAACATTTCCCTCTCTAATTTTCTCCTAAGCACTTTGTCTATTCTTTAAAAATAACTTCTGACTCATTACATTCTACATTAAATGTGGAATGCAAGGGCAAATTCATTTCTTATTCCAACTCCTTGGTGATTTGAAATTTTGGTAGCAGTGACCTCCAGTGGTAAAGGTGAATTACTAAACACAGTTAAGGAAAATTCCCCCAAATGGTAAATAGATTTCTTCCCAGTAGTTAACATAATTCCTGGTCAACTGGTCAATTGCTTTTACAACTTTGAAGGTGAAATTGTCTCAAGATAGAATCCCTAAAGAGTGTTCACTCAGTGGCAGTGACTTCACTGAAAATATCTTAGACAAAGGTGCTTGTACCATGATATCTCAATAGCAGTAGCTCATTTCTTTACTGTCTAATGTAATTCTTTCTGTTTTATTTGCTTTAAAAAGTCTCTTACAGATTTTTACCTCATGGTTTCATGGCAGGTTGTTCAGAAAAGGAGATCATATGTTTGAATTATGTTTTCTGATTTTCTTTTATAGTATCTGATTATGGGTATTTACTATGGGTAAATTGTTCTATGACTTTATTTTTCTTCTAATGAAATTTCACAAGTACCTATCACTTCATAAATGTTTATAACAATATTTCTTGCATCAACATAAATTAATTAAAAATAAGTAAAAGGACATTTTTGATTTGAAGATTTAATCACTCCAATGAGCTAATAAAATCTTGATTTGTAGAGAATTTGCTTTTTTTTAAAACAAGGTAGACAGTAGTCTCTATATGATGGTTTGTATGTACCCTGAGTAAATAAATGTCTTCATTAGATTATTTTTTTATTCTAATGCACAGAAGAATAAGAAGCTAAATCACTTTTCTTTAGGCTGTTTTCTTGTTTTCTCTACCAATCATGCTGTTGCTGCCAGGTTTTTATTAATCAGATAAATATAAAATAAATTGCTTTAAATTTACTTAAGATCAACTGCTTCTGAGCTAAAATACACCTATTTTCATGCTTTATTTAAATTACATTCTTTATTGTCATATAATAATGACAATATAATAAATCTTTGTTTCTGCAATAAATTTCTGTGAACTGCTTTTACTATTTTATGTATATTATGTTATCCATTTATATGAGAAAATAATAAACAAGTGTTATCCATATTAAATAAGATAAAAATCAAGAAATGAAATTAGCAAGTATACTAACAGTGCATGATTAGAATAGGAAAGCTAGATTTATATAGATTTGGGTGTAATGCTGAGTCAGTATTTTACTATAATCTAAGAGATGTCAATTTTTTAATAATTATCAGCATCTTTAAAAATGCAGGTGTCCTTTTTCCTTCTTTTTGCTTAGGGTGTGTATGTTTTTGTGAAAAATGGGATAATGGATACAGTACAATTTGGAAAAGGTAGGTGAGCGAACCATACATAATTAGAAATGTTCCACTATATTTTAAACTTGCAGGATTTATATGTTAGAAGAATAAGCATGGCACGTAATCTGTTATGTTTTACCAACTCAGAGGAGACTCTGTGTAGCTATTCATGATAATAATAATGGTATCTACCATTTATTTAGCAATTATATCCTGACACTGTTAAGCATTTTATGTAATCTAATTTTTGTTGTATTTGATATATTAGTATTGTAATTATTATCATCTTAAGATGAGGAAATGGGTTTAGAGAGGTTAAATAGGTTATATATAGCTAGTAACTGGCAGTACCTGGTTTTAAACAGAAATAAGTTTTAACTACAAACCCATATTGTATGCTCATAAATGATAAGAAATATGTTCCCATTATTATCAATTAGTTTGTGTTATTTTATTTGCTGTTTATGTAAACTGTTTAAAATATATAGCATTTTGCTATTGATTGCTAATGTTAGAAAGAAATTATATTTTATTTATTTTAATAATGGTTTCCTAATATTCTTGACCTAAGCCATTTGTGAAAATACATGTATTTATGAGACAGAAAGTTAGCTAAAATTATGTTTCCATGATGCTAATGAGATATTTACATGACTTTTCCTATCAGAATTTTATTGATTTGCCATTCATTATACAAATATATACATTTAGTAATACAACATGACTTTTCCTATCAGAATTTT